CCCTGCACCTCTGTGGTTTTCATAAATTAGAAGCTGTTTGTCTTTACCTATGCTCTAACTTGAATAGCATTTCAATTACTGCCTTTTGAGGTCTTGAAGAAGCTAATTATGAAACCATCTAGCCTACTCCTTTGGCAGCTCTTTGGCAGACTGGCCTATATTTTTCTTGGAATTTGTTATGTTAGATATGCCTATTTCTTCTGCAGTAAATTTCACCAGTTTATATTTCCAGATATTCATCCATTCCCATCTAGTTTCTAATTTTCTTTGAATAGAGTTGAAAAAAATAATTTCTTAAAATTCTTTGAAATTTCTCTGTATTGTGGTCTTTCACTCATTGCAACTCTAAATTTGTGTTTCTGCTTTCTCCTCCTTCAAGTGAATTAGTGATCTTTCCTTCTTTCTCTCTCAGCCTGTGTCCACCTCTTTCATTCTTCTTTTTCTTTTTAGAATAATTTTCCTCCTCCTCCAAAGGCAACCAAAATTATGAAAATACAGTGTTCCAAAGCATCTTAGATATTTTTGCTACATACATATGTGCATGTGGATATGCATATATATGTACATGTATACATATATGTATAATAACATTTTACAGTATTTAAAAACTACATCCTGTTTATAGTAGGAAAGGAATAAGATTGGGGCATATCAGGCAATTAGAACACACTTTAATTGCTTTGTACATAAAGTGCTGATATTTATTAAAGGTACTCTTTCTCCATTTTTATTTATCAGTGCTCTGTAAATGTTTTAAGAAGTGTTCAGCATTCTTTTACTTACCATCTGTGAGAAAAACCTGCAGAAATTGTCTAGTACTTTCCTTAGAGCTATCTGCATTTCTTTATTTCTTAGACTGTAAACTATGGGATTAAGCAGAGGAGTCAGCACTGTATATGTCACTGCCATTAGCATATCTTCACGAAATGAATCACTGTCCTTGGGTCTCAAATAGACAAAGCCAGCAAATCCATAGTGTATGCACACTACGGTGAGGTGAGAGGAGCAAGTATAAAAGGCCTTATACCTCCCCTTTGCAGAGGGCATCTTCACAACGGTGGACACAATGAAGACATAGGAAATCATAATTAAAATGAAGCTGCCCACCAACACAGAGGCAGTGAATGCAAGAAGGATCGTTTTCTGAAAAAACGTGTAATCACAGGCAAGGGAGACGACAGGTGCGATGTCACAAAAAAAGTGCTCGATGGTGCTGGCGTCACAAAAAGACAAGTTGAATACTATGAGGACAATGCACAACGACACCACAATCCCAGTGACAGAAGAGGCCATCATGAGCTGTAAGCAGATCCTGTGGGTCATGAGGATGGGGTAGTGCAGTGGGCTGTGAATGGCAGTGTAACGGTCATAGGACATAGCGGCCATGATGAAGCAGTTATTGCCCGCTAAGCCAAAGAAGAAGAACATCTGTGTGGCGCACTCAGGAAGAGAGATGGTCTTGCTGTCTGAGAGCAGGTCCACCAGCATTCGGGGGATGGTGACCATGGTGGTACAGGTCTCTGAGAAGGACAGGCCAGAGAGGAAAAAGTACATGGGGGTGTGAAGGTTGTGACTGAGCTTGATGGCCACCATTACGGACACGTTTGCAGCGAGGATAGTCACATGGGAGAAGAAGATCAGCACAAAGAGGAGATCCTGCAGGTCTGGGAGACTGGAAAAACCCCGCAGGACAAATGTGCTCACTGTGGTTCGATTGCCCATCATCTAGGAGGCTCAGTAACTTTCTCCCACAGAGGCAGATATTCTTGAGTCAAGACTCTGATGAGATTATAAAGAGCACTGATATCATCTGGACTTTAATCAAGGATCCCTGGGCAAAGGCAAGACATCTCTCAATGAGAGGTCCTGAGAAATGGGAATTAAATACTCCTTGCTGAATTCAAGGTCAGGACTCAGACTGATGAGAAAGATTCTCGTAGGAGATTCTGTATAAATGTCATAAAGTATGCCTGAATTTTTCCTGGGAATCCCCTCATTTATCTCTCCTTTATCTCCTCTGCAGTCAAAATCTGCACAAAAGGGGGGAAAGATGAAAAATACTTATTTTTCTACCTACAAGAGGGGTAGCAGGTGTAAAATGTTTCCATGTGATATTATAGTCTGGCACACAGAAGTGCCTGACAATGTTGACTCAATGCAAGTTTAAGAAGTAAGGAAATATTTTTGAATGGCTTCCAAATGTTCTTGGAAAGTAATGCTACCCTCAGAGGTGCTCCCCGGGAGGCAGTGGCAGCTTGGCTACCGAGTAGGCCATCATGAACAGACCTAATACATGAATTTACTGTTGAAGTTTGTACTGGTTTTCTCTCCATGACAATAATTTAAGGCTGGAGGTGTTCAATAACTTTTCCATTCGTGCAGATCTTGAAGGCAAAATGGTATGGAGAGACCATCCCCATCCTAGATGGATCATTTGTGTTCACGATGTCAGGATTAATTCTTGAACTCTCAGGAGAATTGCCAGGATGTTTTCTAACTGATATATTAGTGGGAAGGGCTGCTTTGCAGTGCAGCTCTTATTAGAGCTTAAGTTCCTCTGATCATTTTCATGAGTTCATCCATTCTGCTGTGAGTGAGATGACAGCACGAAGGACAGGGATTTTCCAAACAAGATGTGGTTTGGTTTCAGTCACTATTGTCAAGGAAGGAAAGGAAAACGGTGAGAGGACATGGGCATGGAGTTAACGGTTGAGGAAAGAATGGTAGAGACACACTGGGAAGTATTTTGTAAGATCTACAAAGCTTAAAGAAAATATACCTTTAGCTGAAAAGTTAGTGTGTTCTTTATGAATTACTGGGCAAAATTTACACAAAGAGGCATGTCAGTTAACCAGTGTTTACTCAATATCTAACATGTGCGTGTCAATATACTGTGTGTTTGATAGAATGTTCTCGCTAAATTTCTCCCAGAAACTCTGGATAATAAGCATTTCAAACCTGATGTTACAGAAATTGACACTTGGGTACAGGTTACTTAATTAACTACCCAAAGCCAGTGCATTAATTCCACAAATATTTATTTAATGTCTATGGTGTGTTAGTCAATCACATGTGTGGGAAATGTAACATGGGATAAGACATATTACCTCTCCTATCTCAGATAGAGAAAAATGCCATCAAGAGAATTAAATGAAAGTTATGTGACAGTGAGGTACTAAATGGCTATTTTGAACTGTAGAATCAGGAAAGCCCTTTCTAAGGAACCTACCCTTACTTTGTGATTGAAATGCAGTAAGCAGCCCACCTTTGAAAGATCTAGGGGGGGAAACAACACACAAGAAATAGCTAGTGCAAAGATCTCACAGTGGGAATGAGCTTGACCTGTTCAGGGGATATGAAGACAATCAGTGTACCCAGAACACCTGTCTCATGTGTCATCTTAAACACCCTGTGAGAGAAATAGTACTATTGTGCCCATGCTTGAGATGAGGAAACGATGGCTTAGGAACTTATTTTGTGAACTTGATAAATTCTGTGTTCACATTTCATTGCATTATGATGACATTTTTAGCGTCTGACTTCTTTGCTAGTCAAAGTAGAAGGCTATTTTACCAGTTTGTCCACGTACTTGCAGCATAACCTGGTAAATACAAGCATTTGTGTCATGAGAGTTCAACAAATAAATGGGGTGCCATCTTCCCCAGGAAGCCTCACTGGGTTTTTTCTTAGGCGCACTGACTAATTCTTCCCAACTCTGTTGTTTTCTCTCTTTAGCCTTTACCTAATTTGGACAGGTGCTAGAGGTTATTAGCTGTTTCCTTCAATACATTTCAATGCCCATTAAGATATAGTCACATAACCTAGCAATATGATAACTACATATTGACATTTAATACATACTAATTTAATGAATAATGTGTAAACCCTCAGAGTGGTATACTTGGAACAAAGCAAACAAAACTAGTATTTTCTGATCTAAGCAATAAGCTATATTTTCTGTAGCATAAAATGTTACCTGTTTGCCATAATTGCTCCTACACTAAGGAGCATATTGGGATCACCAGGGCAGTCTTCTTGAGAGTTACATATTCTCATTACAAGGCCAATCTTTCAAAGAAGAGAAAAAGAAAACTTCAGGAGAAATCGGCATGTTTAGAAACTCTCACTGTGATTCTGTTACTTCCTTTTTTCATTTGTACTGATAAGAAATATGACTTTCCTCATAATGCTCAAGGGAACAAGTGACTGAGAATATGTTAATATGGCATCATTCCCATTGCTTCTGAGGGACAGAGTTTGAGGGAGATGTTTTCTGGCCCAGCATTTTGTGATAAATTCACCCTCATTGGGATGTACACTTCTGTAGACTGAAAGGGTCAATAATTGATTTCTTTCCCTGACAACCCTGTTATTCAGTTCAGTCATGCTCCACCCTTGCCAAGAAATCTAGGGACTTAGTATGCCTGATTTCTTTGAGATATCAATGGAGACCTACAGGAATTTGAGGCTGCTTCTTGATACTATGCCACCTTCCAGACTCTTTTGTCCACTCACCACATCAGAACCCTGAACAGTGGGCACTGTAAACCAATCTACCTCCCAGGAGACACATCAAAACCATGATCAGCCTGGGGACCCCTGGGACCATCATGCCATTCATCATTCCCCACCAGACTGAACTGGAGGGTTTTTCTGGCGGCTACACTTAACTTCAGGGCATGGAGCAATGTTCGAAGGTGGAGCAATGGGGAATATTTATCACCAAGTGTTTGGAAAAGTGCATTCAGCTTTCTTTCAACCCAATCAGAATAAACATCAGCTTTGAGTCAGCTTTTCTAAAATTTTCAGAAAAGATACGGTAGTCTTCCCGTATCCATGGGGTTATGTACCAAGACCCCTAGTAGATGCCTGAAACTGCGGATAATACTCAAGCCTATGTTTATATATTGTGTTTTTTCCCTCTAGATACATACTTTTTCATATAAAGCAAGTGCTTTATGGCTTCTCTTTAGCATATTCGAATTGCTAACATCACTATTTTGTGCTTTGGGGCCATTATTAAATAATATGTGGGTTACTTGAACACAAGCACTATGCTACTCTGCCAGTCAAATTGATAACCAAAACAGCTACTAAGTGACTAACTGGGGTGAGGAGTAGCGCATATACAGTGTGGGTATGCTTCACATCCTGGACTGGACAGAGTAGGACAGTGCAAGACTTCATCATGCAACTCAGAATGGCCCACACTTTATTAAGAATTTTATATATATTGAATTTTCCACTTAATATTTTCATATCACAGTTGATACAGGGTGGGAAAATAAAGGACTATGTTTTATTGAGTTATAGGTATGAATTCTGATAGAAAAATCAACAATTTATGTATATTAGAGGTTTATGAGGCTCATATTTTTTCTGATTATACATGGCTTTCTAAGTTCATATATATGTATAAACTTATTTCCTTAGTTCTTACAGTGAGGGTATATTAGATCCATCGCCAAAGGAATACTTATTGTTTTATAAACCACAAATGCATGATTTTGAAATCATAGTGAGTGGTCAAAGGAAAAACGCAGGTGGAGGGGACACGAATAATCAAACTGTCCATATTTTACAGTGAAATTTACAATTAAATAATGAGTGAAATATGGAAATTGCAGCAGGATTTTATACATGTTTTTCTTTACTCCTCCCTGCTTAATTCTTGTGATACAATGGAGTCACTTAATTAGCCTTGAGATTACACCAGGAATGATTTTGTAATGGAATAGGGAATTGAGCAGCATTAGAGGGGCCTGTGTTCAAATCCAAGCTCTGCTTCTATTACATACAAATCACATACAGTAATTTAGTCTCCATGATAACCACTTTTCTCCTGTGTAACATGGCTCTACATATACTTTCTTGCAAGGTTACAGTGCTGTGCATACAGACCTGTCAGATATTAAGTGCTCAGAACCTGCTAGTTCTATTCCCATTTGCTAAACCCTCACATGGTTTATAGACTTTTCCTATGGGTGCCCAGCAGTACTTACCTGCTCACAGTTGCCTGGAACTGTATGAGCTCTTCTGCTTAGTCAGCTCTGTGAAGTCGACCCCTCATGGCACACTTTGCTTTGGTTGAGAGTTTGCAGTCCTATCCTCAGTTTGCAGATTTCTAACCTCCTCACGTTGCTATTGTCTGTGTGCTAATTATGCCAGGAATAGGGAAACAATAGCGTTTATTTCCAGTCCAACTGTATTCTTGGTATTTTCAATACATTTTAATTGTCGATTAACACCCACAGCAACTTGGTTATTAGTGGATGGAGCGCAATGTCCATGGTAAATAGAAATATAAAATAAAATTCCATTTTATGTCAAGGAGAAGTCACTTCCAATTTCTTAAAAAGACAACATTAATCTACATAAGGAACTCATTGCTCATGCACCGTTTTCTACTGTTCTTTCTGCAATATTATTTAGGGGTGAGTTTTAAGCCATTTTCCCCTTTGAATCCTTGTGATATGCTCAGTCTATGTCTGAGATTACAAAGTTCCTTATAATGATAGGGTAGAATCTTTTCTATTCCTTATGTCTGGAGCCGAGTTTCCTATGAATTCCAATGAGAATTTTGTCACCTGAGACCATTACCCTTGGCACCACTTGGAGCTTCTTCCTCTCCATTAGTTACCAAGAAGATTGTCCTCTGTGGACTTAGAACTCATTGTGGTCTCCACAAAACATTGTTTTATTCTGATGTAGTATCATAATTA